AGAAGAGTTTATGAATTTCTTGGAAAAACAGATTTAACAAACTTAAATTCAGTGAAAAGGTGATTTATAATGATCGCTATACTGATTCACTGCTAGTATTTTTAGTCCTTTTAAGTTTCTAGTGAATTTTTTTATGTGAGAATAAAAACTGAACAATAGAAAGACTTCTGAGTCGTGAGAAATATCAGACAAACTTGATTTTTATTTTACAAAATAACTGGCCTGTGTATCTTCAGAGATGCCAAGGTCAGGAAAGTCAGAAGACAGGGGAGCGGCTCCACATTGAAGGAGATTCCAGAGCCAGAGTTTCAATGCACCATGGGTGCTGGCCTGGGTCTCTGGCTGTAGGGGCAATTTGGGGACACTGGGAAACCTTGAACAGATCTCTTGATTAGAGGATAGCAGTGCATCAGTACTAATGCCCTGGTTTTGATGGTTGTATGGATGAATTTCACAAACCTAACGTTGAGTGAAACTGATCAGATACATTAAAAAACACCATACATGTCTACTTTTATAGAATGCAAAAACAGGTCAAACCAATCCATGCTGATGGAAGTCAGGTTGGCAGTAGCTTGGGCAGGGTGTTAGTGTTTAAGGAGCAGCAGTGGGGCTGTGGAGTGCTGAGGATTTTCTGGATCTGAGTGCTCGTGAACATTTATTCATCTGAAAACTTAGAGCATGAGCATTTTCCCACATGCATTATACCTCAATAAAAACTCCTAGAAGCCGAAGTCCTTGCACAGTGTGGTGCTGGTGCAGAGACTAGAAAAACTGATCACTGCAATAAACTAGAAAACTCAGCTCAAGCCTACCTACGGATGAAGATTTGGGCTGCATCACTTAGCACTAGTACAGGATGGTGCTGAGAAGACTGATCATCTATTTGTAAAGGAAACAAATGTTGATCCCTGTTCCACACAAGGTATAGAAATTACTCACAGATGAATTAAAATCCCAAGTATAAACAGCAAAGTTTAAAACATTTGGACAAATTATAGAATAGTACTCTCAAGATTTGAGAGCAAGAAAATAGTGTTCAAAAATACAAATTATAATGAGTATAATGGAGCCGTCTCACTACATTAAATTTAACAACTGGTCAACTATATAATAATAATAGTAATGATAATAATAAAGGCAGCCACACTCCCCCGACGTCCATAACCAGCCCAGTGATGACCACTGAGCAGCTGCAGGAAGTGCCCCAGGATCCAAAACCGGTGCCGAGGGCTTCAGCCCTGCTCCCCCAATGTCTGCACCAAGCCCAGCAATGACCACTGAGCATCCGCTGGAGACACCCCTAGCTCCCCACCTGGAATGAGGGGTGTGCCCCGGACCTCAGCCATGCCCCCCTTCCTCCTCCCACCCCCATCTCCTTCCCCTTCTCCTCTCCTCTTCTCCCCCAACAGCTCCACATCTTAGAGTGTAAAAAAATAAAATAAAAATAAAGATAATTAATAAAAAAGATAGGCATGTAATACATAAATTATCAATAGTTTATAATGGGCTCATACAAATCAATAAGGAAAAATGAAAATACAATAGATAATTGGGCAGAGATATAAACTAAAAATACAGCAAATAAATATGAAAAAAGATGCAAAGCTCCCTGGTGATCAGGGAAATGCTATTTCAAATGATAAGGTGATCTATCACACACAAAATACTGGCAGAATTAATCAGTCGTCTGATACTAATGGTGACAGTAGGTGTACAGGTACTAAGCGCGTGGTGCTGAGACCAGTACTTCATACGCACCCACTCATCCCGTCCTCCCAGAAACCTGTGACGTGGGGCGTGGGACATATTTTCATCTTTACAGATGAGGAAACTTGCTGTCAAGAGCAGTTAGGGACTGGCCTGTGATGACAGGACTAGCTAGTTGGGGAGTTTAATTTAAAAAACCAAGTGGTCTCCAGGGCTGGAGGAAAAAACCATCTGTAATACTGAGCTTTGTGGTTCTAATCAATTAGAAGAATCATTTGTCAATGTCTTTGAAAGGTGAAGATGCTTGTCTGGCTCGGAATATCTCTGTAGGAAGTCTAAACATAAGCAAAAAAGGAACTCATCAAACCATTCTTAACACTCTTTGTAAGAGCAGAAAACAAGGAAATACTTTTGTGTTTCAGTACAATAAAATACTATAGCACATTTAGAATAAATGAACTAGGTCCAAACCTTTCAACATGGAAGATTTTGAATGCACAATGGTTAATGAATTTAGAATAAATGAACTAGGTCCAAACCTTTCAACATGGAAGATTTTGAATGCACAATGGTTAATGAATTTTTTTTGTAAAAGAATAAAGCTAATATGTTCTCTGAGTGAATTAAAAAATAGAAAATAATGGTGTATACAAATTTCGAATTCATCTATATGTGTATATGCATGTAGCAAACATGCAAAAGATTGAATGAAAGGATAATGACTTTGGGCTGGTGGTTATCACTACTTGTGGAAAGGGTGATGTGGCACTCCCTCTGTGTTGATAGCACAGTATGTCATCTAAGCAATGACACCATGTAATTAAGACATACCATTATTTTCTGTACTAC